TAAGATAATTATCTTCTTTGGATTTGAATTGTTGGTGAATTTGGAGACTAATATTTATGCTATTATTTGCGGTTTATGTTTTTGATTAATTTTGTTTGAAAATAGGTGTTAAAATATAAAAGAACAATGAGATATTTCACGTTCGGGCTTTAACCGGCCCAACCCGAACCTGGACCGAACCCGGATCGAACCCGGGCTACCAAAAACTCGCCTCGGACCGAACATAATGGCCTTTGTTTCGGTCCCTAATTTTCATAACCCGAGACCTTCTGGGTAATTTCCGGGTTTAGCAAAAACCCGACCCAGACCGGACGGATCCCACCCCTACATAAGATTACTTTTATCTCTGTCTGTCAGCATTCAAAAACAAAAGTTTGTAATGATTTAAGGCAAAAAATGGACATTGGCTTGGTACTTTGTGTAGAGACACTTCTCACCAGCGTTTTAAATAGCGGCCCGCTACCGCTATAGCGACCGCTATATAGCGGTCGTGGTAGGTACCGCTACCGCTATGGGCCGCTATTAGGGTGTGATTTTCAAATCACAGAAAAAATCTGCTATGGCGCCCGCTACAGCCCGCTACCCGGCACTTCCGGCAGTGCATCACGAACTGGTTGATGCGTAAATGTGTAAATATTGTGTGCATGATGTGAAAAAATACATTAATGGTTATTTTTATTTCTAAATTAAATGTACATGTATTCACATACATTACGGTAGCATATATCACGAATTGATTTTAATATCGGTTGACGAAAAAACGTTGACTTAACAAAAAAAATTGGAACGGAAGTGGTATTGTTATGGATTATGCAAGTTGCAATGCATGGTCAACTTCTTAAAATTTGATTGTGAAAGGACAACCATTTTTCATATAAGTAATATCTTTTCGGGACAGAGGAGTATATCTTTTTATTGAAAATTATTTATAATATACAAATGAAATAATAATGTTCTTTGTTAAAAATATTTTCATAAAAGTATAAAATTATTTATAAGTACTACATTTCTTTTTATAATTATTATTACTATTGTTATTACTATTGTTGTTGTTGTTATTTATTTTTTATTTATTAACTTATTTGGCTTATCATATTTATTTCGAAGGGAAGTTCGCACTGAAGATGTATTTGTAAGTGGTGACAATGTAATATTTGGAACTTTTTGTAATATGTCATTTAATGTAACAATCTATTTAATTTAAAGATGTGTTAAGACTTGTTTAGTTTGAAGACATTTTTATTGTGTATGTAGTAATTATTTAGTTTACCAATCCTTCTAATAATCATTATCTTTTAATTCTCATATTCTTATTGGTTGATTAGTTGATAAAGTTACAAGTATTTAAACAAATATTCATAATGTTTCTATTAACTTTAACACCCATTAAATATATGTTTTGCGCATTTGAAAATATTTCACGCCGCTGCAACCACTATAGACCGCTACCGAAATGACCGCTACCGCTGCCGCTACGGCTATTTAAAACAATGCTTCTCATTGAATATATTATAAAGAACAAAATGATGAGTAGCATTAGGGCTGTTAACGAACTGAGCTTTTATCGAACTAGTCGAGTTCGAGCTCGATTTAGAACTTAACGAGCCAAGCTTAATGAGCTTTCAAACTCGAACCCGAGCTGAGTTTTAAGTTCGAAAAATTAGTCGAGCCGAGCTCGAACACAGTAGTAATCGGCTCGGTTCGAACTCAAGCCTATCGAACACCCTGAAATTAAAAATATAATTTATATATAATCGAAATTTAAATATACTACGTAATTAGTACGATTTTATGAATTTAACGAATCAAATACGTGTCGAATCATTCGAGCATGAGCCTATTAACGAGCATCACCTAAAATTTTAAATTCGACCATATTTATCGAGCGCTCGGTTCGAACATCGAACACCTATCGAGTTGAATATGAGCTTCATTTGTAAAGCTCGCCAAGCTTCGAGCTCGAACCTGAACACCATTAATTCCTTATCGAATCGAACTCGAGTTTTAGCTGTTCAGGCTCGGCTCATTAACCACCCTAAGTAGCATATTCTGTGAAATAATGGGAAAGAGGTACTCCAATAGGAGTCCTGACAGATATATTTATAATGGAAGAGTTACCAAAATACAAAGTATTCCTAAATAGATATTAGGCAGATTCCTAAATATCTATTAGGTAGATTCCTAATTATATTAGCCTATTATATTCGTCCTATAAATGCAGAATTTTTTGTTTTGTTTGGCTGGCTCTCGATGCACGCGTGTGAGGCCTGATTTCTCATTTGAGTAATCGTGAATCTGTGATTGCATATATTCAGCCCCATCTTCATCATTGACAATCTTCATGCATATACCCATTTCATATCATTTTAAAATGTTCTTCCTCTCCTTTTCTTGTGTGAGCGTAACTATATCCATATTTCTATGATTCTCTGAAAAAACCTTCAAAGCAATAAAAACGAAAATATGATAAATGAGTAATTTTTACTTTAGATGATTCATATTTCATTGCAATGTCATTTGAGACTTTTTTTTAACAAACCACCTTGGGATATTTTATTAAAGAAGTTGTTGGGCCGCGGGTATGCGGTACCAGCAATCTGCCAGCCTGCCAGTGCAATCGAATCGCGTGGCGCTTTCCATGTGCTATAAATGTGGAGGGGCGTGCTACACTATCAGCGATTGTTTTTAGTGTAGCGGTAAGCGCAACGAAAATCCACATAAGTAACGTCGAATTACAAGTTGCGTTGGTCTTGGTAACTAGAAAAAATAAAAATAAAAATAAAGCTTATGTGTCAAGATAGAGAGAAGTGTCATCCTAACGAATGTAATAAAAAAGGTAGTAGATGCCAAATTGAGTTGTCCAGTGGATGGGGCTTCATTCCTTCTGCACGGACAGGAACAGTCCGAATTCATCTGCCCAGCCCGATTAAAAGACGTCTCTAGATGCCCAGGGTTGGAGCTAGAGAGCGTGAAGGTTATCCAGCGTCGCGGAAGAAGGTACCGCCGTGGAGGTCGTCGTAGTAAGCCTTTCGCGCAGCCAGAGGTAACGTGTCCTCTTTGTAGTGTACTGTTTCCGTGGTTCGCAGAGCTTCTTGTGCAATATAGTGAGCTGTTTGGTTACTCTCCTTGTAGGTGTGGACGATAATTGCCCGAAGTTTGTCATGCAGGGATGTGATGCGCCATATCTCGTTTTGTAGATGAAGAGGTGTCATTTGAGACTTTCGTAGACATATTTGGATTTATGCAAATATATGAGATTTTAGGAGACATATGGGTTTAGCTAGATTTGTGTGAATTTCTACATGAGACATATTCAGACATACATGGACTTTATTTATTTACCTTAAAAATAAATATAGTTAAATAAATAGAGAAGTGTCTTTAATGTTAATTTTTTCATACTAACAAGACCTCCCGTCTTGGCCAGCCAGCCAGGCATGGACCAGGCCTTTTGGGAGATAGTTGAGGCCCGGAACCGGCTTGGTTATCCACCGGGTTCGGACCTGGCCGGGCCTCGGACCAATTCCTTTTTTTTGCTTTTATAATTAACCCCCGACCCCCCCCCCCTCCCAAACTACCCCAAAACACCCAGCCCAACCCGGGAAAATAAAAAAAAAATAAAAAAAAAAAGCCCGAACTGGGCCCAGCCAGGCCGGTTCCTAATTTGGGTGACCCGAGCCCGCCCAACGTAACCTCCGGGCCGGGCCTACCCGAACCGGGCTGTGGTGGGCCACCGGGCCAGGCCGGTTCCAAACAGTGCCGGGCGGGGCCGGGACTCGGGCCGGGCGGCCCGGAACCGGTCCATCACTAGATTTGATCCACTTCGTCAACAACCCCTGTAGACTCAAAGCAATAAGTACACTGTAATGAAAATGAGTACTAGATCAATCGTAACCCTTTCATGGCCAACTGGAACATATTGCAGAAGATTTAAAGCAATCAAGATAATAATTGATGATAAGCTTTACACTCAGAAACCATTGGAGCCATAGCTCGAAAATATGAAGATCGTAAGAGGAGGGATGGTCCTGAAGCCCTAGAATAGGCGGCAGCAGTGCAGTTCTTCACTTTTCAAGCAAATCCCAAATCTCATGTTACGAGGTGAGATTGAGATGTGGGATTTCTTCTTATAGTTAGCCTATAGAGTCCCGATAAATCCAAGTCCAGAACACAATCCCAAGTATTTTGTCTAATATGAATACCACCAGACTTTTTTAGATTTGCAAAATGTCCTAAAATGACTTGGTTGAATACACCCAGATTTTTGAAATCTTAAAAAGTCTAGAAAAGTCTCCTTAAATACACCCCCCTAAAACCACTTCTGCAGAAAGGCACAAAGAATCCCATTTTCATGAGATGTATGCTAATTAAATGAAAGGAAATTCCATTCTGAAACTAAAGAGATATACTCCGTATGAAATAATGGTTTTTTGTGAAAACCTTTTAAGGGAGGAGAATGGAAGTCCTGTCATAACCCCTCTTAGTTTCCATTATCATTCCAGAAGACATACAGGGAGGGCATACCTGCTGACATACCATTTATTTTTTGCATTGAGGACGGTAACACCCCCATCATAGGTGGGAGAGCCTTTGTGGCACTGGGGTGATGATGATGACGACGACATTAACTTCTCACTAATTGTTTTTGTATAATAACAAAAAAATCAGTATACGAACATGAAAAGTTACCATGTATCCTACTCTAATACCTATCTTGAAAATGTTATAAAAAGATTAACAAAAATCAATCAAAATAAATATACTGACTTAACTTGGAAATTATAAATATAATGACTTAAATGAATTAATCATGTATCCTGCTGGAACCCCTGTTGGAAATCAGAAGCTGCACACGCGATGGTAGTCAATCTCCCTTCTTCGCTAACCAAAGGACGCCACACCAAAGGACGGCAGAGACTCAAACCCCTATGTCAGGGAGATGCCCGTGTAACTTCTTCAAAGGATTAAAGCCTCTTACTTGAGATTATAACCATGGTAAGTTTGGTAATAATACAGTTCATTTAAAATTCATATAAAAGAGAACATGTCCTAATATTAATGCTATATACAATTCTTATAGGGCAATTTCCTATCAAATAAGGCAGTTCGCGAAACTAGTGATTATATATAAGCCAAAAGGGGGCAGGAGGGACAAGATCAGAATGGAGAGAAGTAAGAAGAGAGCAGGGAACTATCTGATGAGTGGTTCCATCTTTCACACTGAAATAGCCAATATCATAATCATTAAACCTAATTCCGAATCGCATCTTATCATTTGTGTAGTAAATGCGATTTCCTTTTGTGTCTGGGAAACCATGGGGTAGCAAACATGCCGAAGAATTAAGTCCAAGCATCAAGACATAATCTCCCAAATCGTTCACCCTAGACCATCCCTCATTGTTAATAGTATCATCATCTATTCTCTTGAACATGTCAAATTTAGTGGTCCGATAACCCTCCAGATGCCTTACTACCAGTATCACGCTATATTGCGGGGTATGAACCACATACATGTAGTTCCTTAGAGGGTGAAAGTAGTCCCTGACTACAATAGGTGGTGCAGCCTTACTCACCACATTACCTGATTCAGGGTCAATTACACACAACTCCACAAAAGTGTTCACGGCATAGATCATCATCTTCTTATTTCCTGGTCTATGAAATATGGCATCCCGGTATACAGGTTTTGCAGAATTATTGGATCCAATATCGACCCATTTATCACTGCCACCAATTTGACAATAAGCCAACCTGCCAAAAGTACCATAAAGAATCATAGCCCCCGCCATAAAACCTTCATCCTGCTGAGGAGCAGAAGACAAAACAATCTTAGAGAAATAGTATTTATGCATCCATGCCTGGGGCCAAACAACAGGGTGATACCCATCGCCAATTTCATTAAGGCGTTCCTTGACGGTGTATTCCTTGTTATGATTTCCTGGGTCATAGAGAATTATCTCTGGAACTGTTGACACTGGTGGAAGTAGTCCGCTGACCTGAGCTCTTGTGAATGGATTGAGCATTTCAATTTCTCCATCTTTAATTCCAATTGTGACCAACCAATTTCCATATGACCCTCTGACCACCTTATTGCGCATACCCTCCACCATTTTGGAGGAATACAGTTTCTCCTCCCCAACACTATAGAAAGGATTACCCTCATAGACGAACCCCAGCCATAGATTTTTTAAATGCTTTGGATACTTTGGGAGTTTACGTTTCCATTCTTTACAAACTGCTTGCATCCTAACATAGTCATCATAATGATCAACATGCTTCCCCACTGCACGTAATAGGTCGATATGAAGATCAGCCCAAGCATCATCATCAATATCTTTATTCCTCCGTTTACTCATCATCATGATAGTCCTTACCTATTAAAATTTAAAAAACATATTAACAGAACAAATCAGTACTTTTTATAACTAACAATATGTCAATATTAGTGAGAAAAATATACTTTGATCTCATTACTAAGTTACTAACTAGTAACTATAGGAGATCACAAAACTAGTCATACTATATGCTTAAACATCTCAAGCCTATATTTGTTTCAAATGTGAAGTATTTGTTGACTTTGTGTGACAGCACTGTGCAAACTGAAGATCCAAGTGACATATACACTATTAAATTAAAAAATGCCGGAATTGCATTCTAAGAATTAAAGTAAAAAAACTCATCCATTAACATTTTCATATAAAAAATAAAAATGGTGTTTTATATAGATTAACAACATCCTCGTGTCAGCACATGCTCATAGTTGCAACTGGTAAAGAATAAAAACAAAAATAATGGGGACACCCCAAAATGAGAGCTTTAGAGTCTCAGTCAGTCGTTTACTTGTATGAGTACTAATTTGGACAATTAAGCCAAAAAAATCTAATACCATATCAAGACTTGTAGCTGTGTCCAATAAGAGTACTCAAAATCGATAAATAATGATATTTTTAACTGAACTGATTTCAGTCACATACCAAACCAAAGAGATCGAACCGGACCAGACTTAAAACAATTGTTAAAAAAGAAGATATACAGCACATATTTGTCAAACCAAATCAGACTTAAACATACTAAGCCATAAAATTTCAGTCCAATCAATAAGTTATCCATATTTTATATTCTACTAGTAGCCAGTAGAGTTACTTGATTCTGCCTGTTCTCAATTTACCCCTCTCAACTAAAGTGTCCTAGCCCCAGAGCATCCGAGTGCATATTTTTTTTAAAAAGGACGGAAAAATATTCGAGCAAAGAAATGTAAACAGAGACTTAAAAGTCCATTGCAGTCTGCCGTCTATTACTTTAGCAAATTTATCAATAAGGGAACTAATATCTATTGACTATTGTACTATAATGTCAAAATATGTAATATTTTAATAAATAATAATAACAAGAAAATCTAAAATAAAAGTAAAGAAACAATTTAAATCATTTAATTTTTAATTTGGAGGCAGAAATCACAATTCCTACAACTACAACCTAAGAAGTAAAAACTGATCGGATAAAACAAAAGTTCTTGAACACATTACAATTAAAACAGTCTTACGCGCTTACACTATGACATACGAAGTATTCAATTTACTAGCAATTAGCAACACAATAGTTAATACTCAATAACAAAAATCACGAACCATATACTCCGTACAATAATACAAATTAGTAAATTATGTAAGAAATTAGGGTCAGCAATAAAACCTTAAAAATTAAAATTGCAGAGATAATTGGAGTTGTAAAAGGCCAAGAGGTTGGCGTCCCGGACTGGACCGCAGCGTGGGCGTATCCGGCGTCGCTGAATCGGCTGTGTCCCGGGCTGGCGGAGTGGCGGACCTGAGTCCTGATTAGAGAACTGAGATTGTCGACGACGTTGTCGACAGAGTTGAGGATGGCCGTATGTTGAGGATGTTTTTACTTGTTGTAAAAATACTTCTCCCTCCGTCCCATTTTAAGAGGACGTTTGGAATCAGGTTTTTCAACTTAGGGGGTGTTTGGAACTTATTCTGCTTCTGCTTCTTTTTTAAAAGCAGAAGCAGAATCAGAATCAGTTTTCAGAAGTTGGTACCCCTCAGCTTCTAAAAAAACTGATTCTGAGAGTAAATTAGAGCTCCAGAAGTGCTTCTGGAATTTCACCCAAACACTCCAGCTTCTGCTTCTGCTCCCTGAAGGAGCAGAATCAGTTTTGAGAATCAGATCCAAACACCCCCTTATCAGCAGAAAACTTTTTCACGCGCCGAACGGTATAATAAGCGGAAAAAATAAGATTGAAGTTACTTTTTTTTTTAGCTGTATTGGCTGAAGTTATTGTAGATACCATTTTAGCTATTTTTACATATAATTTTTTCTTTATTTTATTAATAAAATATATTTTAAATTTTTTTTCCTTAAATCAGCAGAATCAGCCAATGCAGCCACTTCAGCTAAATTTCAGCAGATTCAGCCAAAACAACCGATTTTCGTGCTACCAAACGGGTTCTACATGTCTCGTACTATCACTTGTATTACTATTCACTCTTCACTATTACTTCATTTATTTGTATGCTCCACATGTCAAGTGAGTTATTGCATGCATGCCTATTTGTCTCCATTCTATTATTGTAGTAATCCCATAACTCAACTCACATTATTTACTTATTTGAGTGTAGGATTTGGGTCTTCACGGCCCTTCTTTATTTTATTTTATTAAGCTTTTAATTAAGTATAATTTACTATTATTTTTTATTAAGCTTTTATTATTTTATTATTAAGGCTCTTTTCAATGGAATTATTTACTCCATAAATCAGAGAAGATATTAAATCTGATAAACTAATTTATTCATATGTATCTTAACTATTAGACCAGATTTTGGGGCGTTACATTTCTCTCCCCCTTAAAAGAATTTCGTCCTCGAAATTACCTGAGTTGACGCTGTTGAACAAATATGGATACTGGGTTATCATAGCTTCTTCGGTTTCCCAAGTTGCTTCTTCCGTGGTGTGGTTCTTCCATAGAACTTTGACTAAGGGAACCGTTTTATTCCTTAACACCTTCACATCTCGAGCAAGTATTTGCACCGGTTCTTCTTCATAGGTTAAATCTTTATCAAGCTCCACAATTCCGGGTGTTAGTACATGTGAAGGATCAGATCTATATCTTCTTAGCATTGATACATGAAAAACATCATGTATTTGGCTCAATTCAGGTGGTAATGCTAGTCGATAGGCTACAGGACCAATATGTTCAGTGATTTCGTAAGGTCCAATAAACCTCGGACTCAGCTTTCCCTTTTTGCCGAAACGGAGTACTTTTTTCCAAGGAGACACTTTCAAGAAAACCTTTTCTCCTATAGCATACTCGATATCACGACGCTTCAGATCAGCATATGATTTTTGTCTATCTGATGCTACCTTGAGTCGTTCTTGTATCAAGTGAACCTTCTCTTCTATTTCTTGAATCAAATCTGGCCCAATGGCCTTTCTTTCACTTAACTCTGTCCAACAGACCGGAGTTCTACACTTACGACCATACAGAGCTTCATACGGTGCCATCTGGATGGTAGCTTGATAGCTATTGTTGTATGCAAACTCCATAAGAGGCAAGTATTTCTCCCAACTTCCTTTGAACTCAATAGCACATCCCCGCATCATATCCTCAAGAATTTGAATAACTCTTTCAGATTAACCATCTGTCTGAGGATGAAAGGCTGTGCTAAATTTCAATTTCGTACCAAGTGCCTCTTGTAAGCTTCTCCAGAATTGAGAAGTGAATCTTGGATCTCTATCGGATATGATGGATAACGGTATTCCATGTAATCGGACTATCTCTTGGAGATACAATTCAGCCAACTTGTTTAAGGAGAAATCCCTTCGAATGGGTATGAAATGAGCAGATTTGGTAAGTCGGTCCACAATTACCCAAACCGAGTCATTCTTCCTTGGTGTCAAAGGTAATCCTACCACAAAATCCATGGTTACCCGATCCCATTTCCATTCTGGTATTGTGATGGATTGTAACAATCCAGATGGAACTTGATGTTCAGCTTTAACTTGTTGGCAAGTGAGACACTTAGAAGTATACTCAGTGATATCACGTTTCATACCGGACCACCAGTATAGATTCTTCAAATCTCGATACATCTTGTTGCTGCCCGGATGCATTGAGTACTTTGTTTCATGTGACTCCTGAAGAATTCTTTGTTTAACCTCTCCATTAGGAACGACCAAACGTCCATTGAAGCACAATCCACCATTACTTTGTTTAGTGAAATCTGGTTTCTCCCCTTTAGAAATTAACTCCACTATTTGAAGGCACTGATCATCAGATTTTTGAGCTGTTATGATTTCTTCTTGAAGTGAAGGTTTGAGATGTAATTCAGCTATAGTTTTCCGACTCAAAGCATCTGCCACAACGTTAGCTTTCCCTGGACGATAATTGATTACACAATCGTAATCCTTGATTAATTCTAACCAACGCCTTTGCCTCAAATTTAGCTCCTTTTGCGTCGGAAGATATTTCAGACTTTTGTGATCGGTAAAGATGTAACACCTTTCCCCATAAAGATAATGTCGCCATATCTTTAAAGCAAAGACAATAGCGGCTAACTCCAGATCATGTGTGGGATAGTTCTTCTCGTGCTCTTTGAGTTGTCTCGAGGCATATGCGATCACTTTTCCTTCTTGCATTAATACACATCCCAAGCCATTATGAGAAGCATCACTATACACAGTGAAGTCCTTACCAGATACCGGTTGAACAAGTACTGGAGCTTCTGTGAGAACCTTCTTTAGTTTATCGAAACTCTCTTGACAAGAGGGTGCCCATTCAAAACGTAAATTCTTCTTCAAGAGTTTATGAAGAGGTGAAGCTATCAAGGAAAAGCCTTTAACAAAGCGACGATAGTAACCTGCTAATCCCAGGAAACTTCGGACCTCCGTCACAGTTCGAGGTGGTCTCCAGTTTGTAATGGCTTGATATTTCGTGGGATCAACTCTTATGCCATCTGCTGAAATGACGTGACCCAAGAAAGTTACTTGATCAAGCCAAAATTCACACTTCGAAAACTTGGCATAGAGTTTGTGCTTTTGTAGTGTTTCTAACACAATCTTAAGATGTTCCTTGTGCTCCTCCTCAGACTTTGAATAGACCAGAACATCATCAATAAATACAACCACAAATTGGTCTAGAAGGGGCTTGAATACTCTGTTCATTAGGTCCATGAATGCGGCAGGAGCATTGGTTAACCCAAAAGGCATAACCAAAAACTCATAGTGTCCATATCTTGTTCTAAATGCAGTTTTTGGTACATCTTCCTTTTTCACGGGCAGCTGATGATATCCCGAACGAAGATCAATTTTTGAGAACACTTTGGCTCCCTTGAGTTGGTCGAAGAGATCATCAATCCTCGGCAACGGGTAACGATTTTTCACAGTCACTTTGTTTAGTTGCCGATAATCAATGCATAGTCTCATGGAACCATCTTTTTTCTTCACGAATAAAACGGGTGCGCCCCATGGAGACACACTAGGTTGGATGAATCCCTTATCCAAGAGATCTTGAAGTTGTGCCTTTAATTCTTTCATTTCAGCGGGAGCCATTCGATAAGGAGTTGCTGAAATTGGAGTGGTACCAGGAACTAGTTTGATATTAAATTCCACTTCTCGAGATGGTGGTAAACCTGGTAATTCATCGGGAAAGACATCTGGAAAATCTTGTACAATAGGGATGTCTTGTACTAATTGAGCTTCTTTCTGAGTGTCACGAACATATGCTAGATATGCTTGACATTTCTTACGCATAAGCCTTTTAGCATGCATCATAGAAATGAGTTGAGGTGGCCTCGGAAATAATTCTCCGGGAACAAGAATAGTATCACCCTGCTCAGTTTGAAGTAGTAATGTTTTGTCTTGGCAATTCACTATAGCTTTATGCTTAGAGAACCAATCCATACCAAGAATCACGTCAAATTCTCGATAGGGTAATTCAATGAGATCTGCATTAAATTGTTTCCCTTGAACCTCTAAAGGACAGTGTCGGTATATTTGATTAACAATAATACTTCTCCTTAAAGGTGTGGACACCTCCATTTGGATGTCTAGATGTTCTTTTGGATATTCATCTAAACAAGGTGGGCAGACACATATATAGGAATGTGTGGAACCAGGATCAATTAAAGCAGATATATCAGTGTTGAAAAGGGTGAACATACCAATAATGACATCATTCTCTGGTTGCTCTTCTCTAGCCTGCATGGCATAAGTCTGAGCCTGGGGACGACCCTGTGTAGGCCTGTTTACCGTGTCAGAGTTGCTCCCAGCATTGCCTTGGATACGAGTTTGTTGGCTCATCTGTGGGGTCTGAGTGGGGCGGACTGGAGCTGAAGAGGCATCACCCGTGACAAGCAAAGGGCATTCTCGGAGCATGTGCCCCTTTTGCCCACAACGAAAACAAGCTCCGGAGGCTCTTCTACATTCACCGATATGGTGTTTGCCACAAAACGAGCATAGCGGGACACTTTTGACCTGAGAAACCGGTGGTCGAGGTTTGTTGCTACCAGACGTAGACTTGGCACGGGATGATTCATTATATCAACTTTGAGATTTTCCCTTTCCACTTTCATGTTTCTTCCCCGTCAAGTTCATTATCGGTGCTGAGTAAGAAAATGTCCCCCTGCTGGTCTTTCTTCTGCGCCACCCTTCAAAACTTTGAGCGGCTCCCACAAGCAACGTGAAACTAACGTGGCGTAAGGTGACCACCTGCCCAGCGATTTCCTCATTAAGCCCATACTCAAATTTCCGGCACTTGTCAGCTTCCATTCTTACCATATCGGGAGCATACTTGCTCAGGCGAAGGAATTCATATGCATACTCTGCCACCGTCATGGATCCTTGTGTGAGATCCATAAACTGCCGTTTTCGTTCTTCTTGGTACCAGGCCGGGACAAATTGATCTATGAAGCATTCCTGGAAGTAGTCCC